ACTGCACTAAGTCACACCTATTCCATCTGCCCCCGCTAGTCTTGATGCCGTAAATGCGGATTTAGCTCGTGGCTGACAACATACTGCTTTACCACTGGTGCACCATAGCGGCAAGCTAACCACACTCCACTGCGTATAATCCGACAGGATGCTATTAGAAATTCCACGCGCCTCCAAGCCGAACAATAACTCCCAACTGTGTATATGTCAGCGAAGACGCCTCAGACCACATCCAGCACGGCCACGTTCGCCACCACCACATCTGAGGTCATGCTGCTGACGGCGCTGCCACGGCCGCTGCCCTCGCTGCCCGAGTCGCCCGCTACCATTGCGTCCGACTCCATGCTGACGAAGTTGCCTCCGATCTCCTCCCGTACGGACACGATCTCTACAAAGGACGTCATGCTGTTGATGCCGCTGACGGTACTGCTGGCACCTCTACAACGGTCTCCTTCCGCACTGTCGATGCATTTACGCACGCTGTCTGGTCACCGGTCACATCCTTGCCAACCTCCGTGCCGGTGGAGGCACCCACGACCACCTCCAGCACGACAACGGTCACGCCCAAAGCGTCCGTGGTCATGATGTTGCCGGCGCACACACGGCGCTGCGACCGCCGTTATGCTTGCTGCCCGAGTCCCCCGCCGCCATCGCGTCCGTGTCCGTGTCCATGTCGGCGGAGACGCCCCTGACCGCGTCCTCCAAGGCCACGGTCACCTCCATCGTGTCCGAGACCCTGCTGCCGATGTCGCTGGCGGCACTGCTGCCGCTACTTCCGGCGGCGACCTGTGTGCGGCTGCCGCTGGCGTTGTGCTCGACGATCGCATCCGTGCCCCTGGGGACACAATAGTGTTGATAGATATACTACAGAAGACACAATAGCGTGGGGTTTTTACCTATCCCTCTTAGCTGTATGATTGGTCATAAACGGCGAGGAAACTGCCGTGGCTCAGAAAATTGCTGTTTCAGTTATCTTGCTACTACATCACCAGTAAAAAGATACTTGATGTATCATTCTGGTAACGATAGGGTTAAGCTATCTATCGTTTTT